TAAGCATTTTCTTGAAGACTTGTCGCACTAAAAGTGATTTGATTACGCAAGAACGAGCTAATAACGGAATAAATATGAAAACTTTTTTTACGATGAAGTCGTAAAAAGTTTGGTGACGCAGTAAATACAAGAAGAAGGAAAAGTTTAAGTTTTTAATGTATTAATGCATTTCATTCAAAAACAATCCATACACACGTATGAGATATGAAAGTAGGATATAACGTCTAAAGTTTTTTTTTTTCAATTTCTTTTTACCAGATTGTGGATAAAAAGTTCACTGACCCACTACCTAGCCACTACTGTAACAATCGAAACAAATAATAATAATAATAATAATAATAATAATAATAATAATAAAGACTTTTATTTCAGAACTTATAAATTCCATATATTGTTAGTAAAAAAGAACTTAAAACACACTATGTTAGTACTTACAGGTAAATAATACAGATTACATTAGATACATTACATCACATTATAAGTAATGGTAATTATGTCCAAACGACACGTTTTCAAAAAATATTGTAAGCCTATTTTGATATTCAAAACGCAATTTTTTTTCAGTCACATCAAGCCACAATTTAAAAATAACAATATGCACGTGACTTGACCCAGGGATCCCATTTAGATAACGATCTATCCACCTATATAAAACTGCAACTCTTACGAGGGATGTACGGGCGGAGGCAGAGCGTTGCCAAATGCAGGAAAACTAAAATCCGTTACCCACCGTATAGAACTCACTACTAGGAACCAGCGAGTAATCAGGTCCCAGATTCTACGAATACCTACCGACAAATCCAGAAATTAACGACTAAATATTTTATACCCGTTTTATTGCATGATGAATTTTACAGAAATTATAACTTAATTTTTTTTTCGTCATTGTAATTCGACAACATTTGTGTTTGGTTTTTTTAGTTATGCTATTTTGTTTTATATTAATTTATTATTATTGATTTTATTGAACTTCAAAATGTTTTACTACCATGAATTGTGAAATTACTGGTTTAATATACCTACCTATAGACGCAGGTCTTAGTCCTATTAGATAGAAGTAATTTGTCTTTACGTTCGATCTTTCTAATAATAATTATAACAAATTAATTATCATTGTTTATTATTGTTTATTAAAGCTACAAAATGAAGATCATATTATCACTTGACATCGTATTTTAAATTTTAGTATTGTGACATTGATAATATGAAATAAATAATTGCCTCCGTAGCCGAATGGTCACCATGCTGGTTTGCCACGCAGAGAGGGAGAAATATTTGTATGGCCTACATTTATTTCTCTCGTGAGTTTGGGTGTAATTTGTGGTTGTCTATAAGTGTGTGTCCATGGCATCCGCGACTTAGGGTTTCCTTAGTGCGGGGCTATTAGTGTATGCGTTATATAATTATTTAAATAATTCTTTTCTATTCAATAGGAACTGCATGTGTCTAAACTCAGCCACCAGATTAAGTAATGTAGACAGTCTTGATTTAAAATTATTTGAACTTGTAAATGACGTAAGTTGAAAATTGCCTTGTATATCTCTAGATCTCATTCCCAGTATGACCTTTTAATGTAGGTCATAAGCATTCCCATAATGGAGTACGTTATATCCGTTCAGAAGGGTAATAATTTTAATAAGAAAAAATGTTACATATTACGAACAAGACGTCCCGCTGATATATTTTCATTGTAGTTTCCTCTACAATATATCTTTTTTCCCAACATGTTATAGTACTGATAAGTTGGATATAAAATGCAACAGTGTCACTTATCCGTTTGCAACTTCATGACGTAAAATGTCTAAATACATGAAAAGAGAAATATTATTATACACTTTTAAACTTTTGCGTTGTGTTGTACTAATATTTGTAAACGGAATTATGCACCTTTTAACAATTTAATAGATATTCTCACACCCTGACTTCAGTTTTCAAATGTTAGAAATACATTAGACCACACTATTAAAAAAAATATGATATATTATATTATATATATAAAAAATTTATTGAAATACTGTACACACCATTTATATCTAAAGAGTTACTTTTGTTTATAGTGACAAAATTCAAGGAAAGGAAATTTGTGTTTGACTTTCCTATAACGAAAAAAAACAAAAAAGCATTATTTTAACGAATTCAAAAGTATGAAAATTAAATCGATTTCCTTCTCTTCATAGATAGTCACAATGTTCAAAGTTACTATTTTTAATAATGAAAATAAAATGAAGGAAAGTTGCGTTTGGTATAGAAAGAAACAAAAAAATTACGATAAATAAAAATTAAATATCTTTCACTATAATATTATTATTTGTGTCCGAATTTCAAAGACGTTTCACGTGAAAAGCGAATGGAAAAGATTGTAATGTAGAGTAACCATTAGTATAAAAAAAAACATTAAATAATATTAAACTGAAATAGAAAATCAAAACGTTTTAGTTTATGACGTCTTTCCGTTACAATTCACTTTTCTGAAGGTACAAAAGAATTGTGTTTAATTATAATGTATCATGTATACATTAACTATCAAAATCCGTATTCTTAAAAATATTTACGCATTTAACATAATTGCGTAAATATTCTTAAGAACCCTCCGAAGAACCTCCAATTTTACGCCGCCATATTTTACTTTTTTTACTCTAGTTTTTGGGATATACAAATGTAAATTATCTTTCTTTTGATCCGCTATGTAAGGTCTCATAATTTAAAAAAAATATCTTATGACTCGTGTAGTCAAGTAAACAACTAACCGAATTCAATCAAATGAATCGACTCTTACAGTTGATTGCAAAATTTCAATCGATATTATTTCGAGCACCAAATTGGTTTTGATCGATATGCAGGAAATTTTTGAGCAATCTCATTGTCGAGAAGATGCTTTATTGCCGTATCGAGTTGCATTCATCATATTGTAAGTATCGATGCGTGGGCAAAGATGGCCCCTACGGCGAATGTAAGCAAAAACAGATTAGTCATTATTCATTTCGTTGGCTGACAGATTGTGATGTGAAACACTTTAGAATAATCACTTTAACACGCATCGGCGTCTCCCTGATAAATGTCTTGTGAAATAATAAAAAACACATGTTTTTGGAGACCAGAAATAGAGCTCGTCATTACGTTTCAGATTTGTTGTTCAAATCGTATTGTACGAATGAACATTGTTTATTCAAAAGACCTTTTAGTTGCCGAACAATGTTGCGAACTTAAGCTACAAGTTGTGTTTGAATAATTAAAATTTGTATTGCGAAAATGTCATGTCATCATTTTATGCTGTTTACCTTCTTTTAAGTTTAATTACAAATATATATGCGTGTGTGTGCATTTGCGACTATGCATGCAAACCCCTATGTTTGCGAGTATATAAAAAACTAAAATTATGTTACCCACCTTTTATTTTTCTTCTTTTTTATTTAATAGGCGAGACAACACATATAACAAAAAAACAGAGCTGCACACAAATTGTCACAACTTATTTTCATAATTCGTTTCCCTACAGCACCGACCTAACGATAAGTGACAAAAGTGAAACACAAATGCCGCTAAGGCATCTGTCCTTTCATAGTCAACTTAACTAAAAGGATTAAAATGATATCTTCCGTCGTCTGACATCCAGTGTGGTCCGCGAAGCGTGAACAGAAGACTCTTTTGTTAAGCCTTCACGAATTTTGTTACCTTAAGCTCTTAATACTTTTATACCTTTTTAATTTTAGCATTCCTTTCTATAAAGGGTTGCATTTAATCTTTCCTGTAAGTAAACGTAGCCTTTTGTTAAATTTGAAAGTTTGTATTCAACCGTGGTAAACTCTATCGAATTCTGTTAAAATAAATCTAATCTGTTTTTAATCGCATAAAGACTTTATAGGCTTTGCTTCGTCTTTTTAAATCCTATTAGTTTAAAAAAGTATAAGTAAAAAAACATTTGTTTCCATGAACTTTAGTTCACAAGCTGATTAAGAATACTTTTGTCTTGTGAAACTTGAAATACTTTTCATTCATTTCATACTGTTCACTTAATTTTAACATTAAATTTTGAAAGTAGAATATAGTTCTACTTTCAAAATTTAATGTTAGGTATACCTACACCAACAAGCCGTATTAAGAAATTGATATATAATTTTATGAACGAAAACTGTACTAAACGTTGTAATAGTTTATTTATATATAATGATCTTACTTTGTTACGTTAATAAATTAGATAACACCTCAAATACTTTTATTTTTTTTTCTTAGGATTGGAATTTCAAATGGTGCACGTACAAGCTATTTCATAAGCAATTTCTGCGAAGAATTTTGAAAGGCTTTAGATCGATCGCGTTAAGGCACGCAAAATATGCCATAATCCGTGGGGTTTCTTTTGCTTTTAGCCGTTAATTCCCACAAAGACCAAATTTCAAAGTAAAAACATATATAGATTACGATAACTCAGGTTTAAAACATCAAATATATGAATCAATAAAATCACGTTATGATACTAATCTCTACTAATTTTCGGGAAGCAAAATTTAAATATTACCGACAGTCGTATAATAACAAGAATTCTTTAATTATCTTCCAAACAATCTGAAATTTCATAAAGAACGATTTTATCTTCATAATTTACATCCAATTTTACTTTTAAATGAAATCATTTTATATATTTGTTTTTAGTTGCGGTAACACTTACATATTAGTAATGTTTGATAGGTACATAAAAGATAATAATATTTTGGTATCTGTACTCGATAAGGGAAAAACCACAAGACGTAATTGCAAATTTCGAAAAGTCAACTCAACTTCCTAAAGCAGCTGATGTTTTCGTTCATTCAAACTTTGCGGTTTGTTATACGTGCAGCCGATCGCTTAAAGCTGCGTAAAAAATAACTTATTGTAATAAGTCGTCGTGAACATTCGCCACCACTCGGCTCATCTCGCATCGCTCCCCGCTCCCCTTTCCAACCATACAATCTACTCGACTGCAGTGCCTCTACTCAAATTCAGTTGACTCGCAGCAGCGTCGGGACACGGTCGCGCCTCTCGACGCTCTGAACGGACGAACGTTTCAGTGAAAACACGCTTATCACTATCGTGTTTAATAACAAACTTGTAGTCTTCATTCAATGTAGTAAAATTATTTTTCAAACTGAACTATATTACGAAATAGTTAAGTGAACTTCGGACGTTTCAGCAGATGTGGACTGTTTATGTGAAAATTTTGATTACGTTATCCCGGACTGTGAATTATCGAACTGTGGACTGAGATCATTTCATCATGAGCATTAGCACGTTAAGGATTATTTGTTTAAATTGATGCCGAAATAGACTTTATAAATTGATGGATACTTCACTTCCGCCAAGGGGACGCTACATACGAAAGCCGACGGAAAAAACATGACACTGAGCCTACCGTGTCTTGTTTTCTTTCTTCCTTGATATTTGATTTAACCCATAATGGCTCTTCAGCAAACATCTTCAAAAAAACAACTCCTCGGGCAAATCTTATTTTGGTTCGTTGTTGGACTTAACGTCGCCGATCAGAGCTCATTGCCACTGAAATATGAAGCTCCGGATGACTGTCAGTGGTGGCTTAGAGGTCCTAATGATGCTCACGAAGTTTCGCTAATGTGTAAACTTCGAACTATAAACAGTGAGTTTGACACAACAAACTTCAGTGTCATCCCTTCAGAACACACAACGTCTCTGAGGATAGAGTGCAATGAGGAAATGATGTACAAGAGCTCATTAGATGACCGTAGTTTCGCGCATTTGGTGAAACTGCGTGAACTTGTTTTGGATAACTGTAAAATTGGAAGATGGCCGCCCGGCGTTCTATCCGGTCTAAGAGATCTTCGAAATTTAACGATCCGAACGAAAAACACAGAGTGGGCTGCTATGAGCTTAGAGATAGCATCGGAGAGCTTTACGGCTGTTCGGCAATTGGAAAAGTTAGACCTCAGTTTTAACAACATCTGGTCGTTTCCCGAAAACTTGTTTTGCCCTCTAACTAATTTAGTTTACTTGAACGTATCTTCCAACCGACTGCAAGATGTAAGTGATTTGGGATTCAGAGAGAGGGCAATGCATCAAGCTCTAATTAGTGAACAAGACGGGCCGGCTCCTTCGGTTAGAACCACGTCACATTCAACGTGCTTACTAGATATAGAAGTCTTAGATGCATCAAACAATCATTTCGTATTAATGCCTGAGAATGGCTTCATGGCACTTAGAAGATTAAAGGAACTACACATTCATGACAATGAAATTTCAATGGTGGCTGACAAAGCTCTTTCTGGATTAAAACAGTTATCGATAATCGACCTATCAAATAATAAAATCGTCGCTCTTCCACAAGATTTGTTTAAAGATTGTAGACCAGTGATTAAGGAAATTTATTTACAAAACAATTCTATTAGTGTGCTTTCACCGAGTCTTTTCGCTAACTTAGATCAGTTATTAGCATTGGACTTATCAAACAATCATTTAACGAGCACTTGGATCAATGAAAATACATTCACTGGACTTATAAGAATGGTATTGTTAAATTTATCTAACAATCGACTGACCAAACTAGATCCGAAGATTTTCAAAGACCTGTATACTCTGCAGATATTGAACGTACAGCACAATATGTTAGAAAGTATCGCTGCTGATACTTTCGCTCCAATGAATAATCTTCACACTTTGATTTTGTCTTATAATAAAATATCTCACATCGACGCTTACGCCTTGAATGGACTGTACGTATTGTCTTTGCTATCTATAGACAACAATCACCTGGAGGATCTTCATCCTGAAGCTTTTAGAAATACATCTTCCTTGCAAGATTTGAATTTAAATGGAAATCGTTTAAAGAAAGTACCTATTGCTTTAAGAAATATGCGACTACTGAGGACTCTTGATCTTGGAGAAAATCAGATAACGTCATTGGAAGAACCCGGCTTTGTGGGTTTGCACAACGTGTATGGCCTACGTCTTATTGGAAATAAAATAGAAAATATAAGCAAAGACGTCTTTTCTGATTTGCCATCTCTACAAATTTTAAATCTAGCACGAAATAAACTTAAACAGATTGATATGAACGCATTTGAGACATTAAATAATTTACAAGCCATAAGATTGGACGCTAACCAACTCACGAATATCCAAGGCCTGTTTGTAAATATACCGTCTCTGTTGTGGTTGAACGTGTCAGATAACCAAATAGAATGGTTTGATTACGCCGTTATTCCCGCGGGACTTCAATGGTTAGATCTCCATAGCAACAACATCAAAGAATTAGGAAATAACTATCGCTTAGATAAAGAACTTCGTCTCCAAACATTAGACGCTAGTTTCAACAAAATGACAAAAATATCTACATTTTCAATTCCCAGTAGTGTCGAGCTTCTGTTCCTGAATGATAATCAAATTACACAAGTTGAAGCACAAACTTTTGTTGGAAAAACCAATTTAACGAGAGTCGATTTGTATGCAAATCAGATAACTAGCATGGATCTCAATGCGCTTATTCTGACTCCGGTCGATCCAGGGCGACCCCTACCCGAATTTTATATTGGCGGAAATCCGTTTCAGTGCGACTGTACTATGGAGTGGCTACAACGTATCAATAAACTTGATCACCTCCGGCAACATCCCCGTGTGATGGACTTAGAAAGCATTTACTGCAAGTTATTATATAATCGTGAAAGGACCTATATTCCATTAATAGAGGCGGAATCATCTCAATTTTTGTGTACTTATAAAACTCACTGTTTTACTTTGTGTCATTGTTGTGATTTTGACGCTTGTGATTGTGAAATGACGTGTCCATCAAATTGCACGTGTTATCATGACCAACCGTGGTCAGCAAATATTGTGGACTGTTCGGCTGCCGGGTATTCTGAAATACCTAATACTATACCTATGGACGCTACTGAACTATATTTAGACGGTAATAATTTTGGTGGATTAACAAGTCACGCCTTTATTGGACGTAAAAACCTAAAAATATTGTATGCGAATAATTCTAATATAGACGCTCTCTACAATAATACATTTAGTGGACTAAAACGCTTAACAGTATTGCATTTAGAAAAGAACAATATAAAAGAGTTGCTCGGTTTTGAATTGTCGCCTCTGGAAAGTTTACGCGAGTTACATCTACAAGACAATAAAATACACTACATCGATAATCGTACTTTCATAGAGTTGAGGCATTTAGAGGTGCTACGTTTGGAAGGGAATAACATTTACGGCTTTGCTGTGTGGCAATTCACGATGAACCCATATTTGGTAGAGATAAGTCTCTCTCGCAACCCGTGGTCGTGCGATTGTCAATACATGCACAAATTTCGAAATTGGTTCAAAAACAACATAGGAAAAGTGGAAGATGCTGACAAGATCACTTGCATATTTGACAATATTACAAATGCCGTAGGACCTCTCATGTCCGATTTTAACTCAACGATATGCACTAGCCATGTAGGTGGAAGCTCTTCCATCATAGAAAATCAAGTTATAAATGATTACCTACCATTATTGTTGATATCCCTCTGTGTATTTGTTATAAGTTCTGCCCTAATATGCGGAGTATTCTATTGGCGACGTGAGCTCCGTGTTTGGATTTACTATCATTGTGGATTTCGTATGTGTTACAAAAGTACAGCTTTTGACGACGAAGCAGACAAAGATCGCCTCTTTGACGCCTACATAAGCTACAGTGTGAAAGATGAGGCATTCGTCGCTCAAATGTTAGCGCCCGGCCTAGAATCCACGGATCCTAGTTTCCGCCTATGCCTGCACTATCGAGATTTTAACGCTTCGGCATACGTCGCAGATACAATAATAGAGGCAGTAGAATCATCAAAAAGAACGATCATAGTGCTATCTAAGAATTTCATCAACAACGAATGGTGTCGTTTCGAATTCAAGACGGCACTACACGAGGTACTGAAAGAGAGACGTAGAAGACTGATAATAATATTGTTAGGCGAGATGCCGAATAGAGACATCGATCCGGAGCTGCGGTTGTGTTTGAAAGCTAACACGTGTATAGAATGGGGAGATAGACAATTTTGGCAAAAATTGAGGTTCGCGATGCCGGACTTGAGGAAGTGTCAGTATCACCGTTCGACTGTGAATATTTACGCGTCGGTGTCGCCGGTGGGGGCCGGGCGGGCGCCGGCGCCGCCCCCGCCGCCGCCGCCGGGCAAACTCCCTCCTCTGTTGGGCGACGGGCTGGCCCTCTCGGCCGGCATGCACGCACGCGATCCGCACCCGCACCGATTGCCGCCGCACGCGCAGCTCTGGGCGTAGCGTATGCTCCAACGCAGGTAAACTTTGCTCTTACTCGCAACGCTTAAGCGTATTAGTCCAACACAAAGTGATAATTGTTTGTAAGTTGTTCCATATTATATTTATTGTGTAATTTTAAGATATTTACATCTAATTTGCATTTTATTTGTATACTTAAGACGCTAGTTTTGTTTAAGTTGAAACGGATTATTTTCCTGATTTCTGCGATATTAGTACGGTTTAGTAGATAGTTAACTGATACGATAATGTAAATATTTATTGTACAAAACACTCCGATCGCTTAAATTATTATAATACCAAAGTTTAAAACTTATTATGTACAGATGCATTTATATTAATTTGTTAAACAAGACATTGTCACAAAAAGACTGTAAATAAATACCTATGATTTTTGTATGATTTTGTAAATATGAAAAAAGATTATTATCGGAAGAAAAATGAAATACACAATTTTCAAAATTTTATTTGCTTTTGTTTTATTTTGGTTTTACCTTTATTTATTTTTTGTTGGCATACAAAATTAATACAAACTAAGCTTGTTTTGAGCTAATTTATAGATTAGAATGTCAATTATTTGAAAATATACACAAGCTAATGTAAATTTTTCAAAGTAAACAACATTCAATTCGTTTTTACCAGTGCTCTAGATATTTTGAAACTATCTTTTAACTACAGTAAGTTATTAAAAGGAATGGAATAATTTATTCTTAATTTTGAACTTCGTTAAACTTGTGAAGCAGCCGCCATATAGCGAAGTCAAAGTTAGCTCTTACGTTAACTTAGGCAATATGCAAACATGTTGAAATTGAAAGTCACTCTACTGAAGTTGAACATGGGTGAAATGGCAAATATCTTAGACTAACTTATAGCTACTTAGTTGGTTGACGTGATAAAATAATAATTATCTCATAAATACATCAAGATATACTATGTAAGTGGTACGGTAAGCGCGCACATTAAATAGTTTTTTCAAGTAATCCATATGTATGAATTTTAACACAGTGGGTTTTATTGTTGTCATAAGCATACATTTTCATTTAAGACATTTTGATAATGAGAAAATAAAAATAAAATATTTATTGATATTCAAAGCCTAGATAATAGTAAATAACATCCTGTCGAAATATTGGATTCGTCATACAATTTTCTTCCCATTACGACCAGCCGCTGCCGCATATTATCGCTTTTTTCCACTTATATCTGGACACATCCAATGTTATACTAACTCATCAACTCATAAAACTGCTATTATCTCCGTGCGGACAAATCAAAACGAAATCAACATCGGTTACTTTTGGTGTTCGCACCCTTATCAAATCGAGAAACGGGTCAGCGTGGAAATAATGGGGAAACTTGTTTTACGAGTCCTTTACGACGCGCGTTTCTATCGGATTCCATGTTTGTACTCTTTATGAAGGGCTCCCATAAATCGAAGTAACTTCTAACGTAATAACTTGAAAAAATACAAAGGCTAAGAAGATTACTTTGAGTCAATGTTGATAGCTTTGTTAGGAAAAGTATCTGTTTTGAATTTAGAAATAGGTTAAATAACATTTGTACCGTTCCATTGTGCAACTAAATCATCATCACCATCATCAACCCATTTATGCGTCCCATTGTGGGGACGATTCTCCTCTCAGACGAGGGTGTAGGCTATAGTCCCCCACACTGGCCCAATCCGGGTTGGGAACTTCATACGTTCTTTGCGAGGGTAGTGAATCTTCTTTGGCATGCAAACTTCATCACGATGTTTTCCTTCACCGAAAAACTTTAAGGTGTGAACCCGGATTCTAATCCACTGCCTCTACTTGAAAAGCGTCAGGTCAAACCACTAGACTGCCGCAGTGACAACTGAATACAAAGCTCTGAAAAGCCAAGACAACATCTAATATGAACGATTTGCTCGTATTTATTTTTCTAATGTAATGCTAGGCAAAACATTTATTTGCAAAATCACTCCTAAGTTTGAAATTAACTTATAAGGATGTAAAAGTAGGATAAAAATGTAGCGAAGTTAACAATCAATTTGTAGTTTCATATTTATCCTGTATTTTGGGAATGGGTATTACTGAAGCTGGAGGGCGGATAATGGAATTAGTTTTGTAATTAATTTAGTTTATCGTAAAAGGGACAAACAGATAGTATTATCTGGCATAAAATTTTAGTTAGAAACCTTGTTTGTCTGATGAAAATTGCGAACCGCAGTATGTTATAAAGTTTACCGTTTTATTATTCCGGGACAACAGATTTTAAAGTGTAATTTGTCAGAAACATAAACAAAGGGCGATACAATCTAGGTCCTATACAAAATTCGGCAAATTCGTACGTAGCAGTTAATTAAACATGAACTGATGTTAGCGCCGAGAATTTGGTAATAGATATTTTGCAACAATCGATTGAACCATTCATTTCTTCAGACACTAATTACGGATATTTACATTTCAAAACAACAACATATCTTTCAGGATAAGAATTCCATTTACAATGGACAACGGAAAGACAATTTTAGATTCTATCTCGGAAAAGCTTTAACAAGATATTTGTAGAAACTAGACGTGAAACGTTAAAGACGCAGAGGCAATGAGTTAGATATCTTCTTAACGACGGTTTTCCAAAATGCTACAAATTAGTATTCTACGACGGTAAAACAGACTTGTAACGAGACTTTTAAGTATTCTCTAAACATTTGTAAAAGTATATCCATAACTATTCAAAAGCAATTTCTATGTCTCGACAAACATACGATGTCATTTAAATCTCATTCTCGTAAATGCTTTTAATCTATTGGTTTACTTAAAAATGCAGGCTTAACAAAAGAGCCATCTGCTGGAAAATGCCATATGGTATGACAAAAGAGGCATGCGCAATTTAATAGCATCCTAGTTTAAAGCGGTCCTTTGAATAACTTTCAAATACACATACGAAAAAACACACATTGTCATTCGATAATCCTTTACTCCAGAGATGTCACCGGGACGGATCAGCTTTCTTCTGGCCAACAGTGTTGGGTTTGCGTAACTCAATACAAAACATGCTATTACGCAAGTCATTCCAAATTCCAACTTATTAAGAACGCAGCAAGAACTCAAATATGGTAAAAATTTACAGAACGTAGACCACAGACCGCAATACGAGAGCAGTTGACGACAAAAGAGGCACAGATAATGTCCCATCCCTTAATCACATGCACCGATGAACTCGAAAAATATTTGGTAGCCCAATACAAAAGAATTCGAATACATTTGTTTGTTCACGAACTTATTTGGGCATTTACTAGTTGTCTACAATATATTCGACGGTATATGTCGTCAAAATGTTAAACACTATCTTGTTCTATATCGGAATCAGTTCCAAGAATGTTGTCCGGGTCGAGTTCAGTAAAACAATAGATTAGAACAGCGTTAATTTCGTTGAATTCCGTGACACCGTGCACTTTTTAGTGTCGGTAATTCAATCTGAAGCTCGTGAAGAATGTGAGCGGTGCCGAGCATGAGAATTTTCGGAGCTCAGTAAATAGCTCCGCCGAGAGACCGTCATTATGGTGGGTTCATTTCGAGTTTCCCAACATTACAGTTAAATGTCACTTTAGTATCCTTCCGATAATAAATCTCCCGTGCAGTGGTTTAGCTGGTAGCTATTAAAAACAGACACAGTCCGTAAAAGAGTTGTAAAACTGAGTGTTAGTAATTATTAATTTCGCAACGTTTATGGTTATTAGCAAATGTCCTAAATTAAATGGCTTCTCTAACGGAAAGACAAATAATTCGTACTAATACTAAATTAAGAAATACGCTTGTCAATCATTATTTTCTTTATGACACCAAGTGACGGGATTAACAAATCGTATGCCTGGTATTAAGCGACACGCCTCTTCATAGCAGTTGCAGTGCCACAAAGGGCTTTAAATCGCAAAGATCTCACGTTACGGCTTGGCGGCAGAAATAGGTAAGGTAGAAGTACTTCCCTAGACGAACTCTTTCACAAAGAGATTTACTGCTAGTAAAATAAATAAATATGTACATAGAGTAAAACTATCCAAATAACTGAAGAAATTGTTTATTTTTGTTATTGATCAACGTAATATAATAATAGTACTATTGACAAATAAATCAAAACATCGTTATCCAAAGTGCCCTACCGTCTATTAAATTTTTTATCTCAGCTCTATTAAACGTTAATGTCCTCAAAGTCTTCTATCAAGTCTCGCTTTGAATCTCAACATCCCCTTGAGTACGTATTTATTTGCGTACTAGGCTGGCTTATGAATACGGTATTACCATAGGCATACAAGCCTTGGCGATATGGTTTAAACAACCCAAAGACAGTGGCTTCTAGTGCCGAGTGCCAATAATTGACTATCAAACTTGATATATAGCTTTCTCGGTGGGTTGACGGCGATAGTTGGATGAGTTATAGTGAGTATTGTACCATTGGGAATATAGAATTTGCTAAGCAATGTATAACGAACGAACTTTGATTTTCTTGGTGATTTCTTTCCGTTCATAATTAGTATAAATTTTAATCGAAAGTTAAATATAAATAAAAATCGGAATTCTGATGCTTTTAAATCAAAGTCAATCCAAATTTTCTTTCGTAATTGACATCATTACTTAAACTTTGCCTAGCTTTCTCAAACTGTCGAACTGTTTCGTCGTAATGGATCCATCTAATCTTTCCAACTTAAACTTTATTACAATCTTACATAAACATCACTATCGTTAGTGTCTGTCATAAAGTCCCTAATTATACCTATAGTTACTCATCAATCAGGCTTGATTGGGATTGCAATGCTAAAAAATTGGAGCGATGCTTGCTAGAAACAACGATAAATCATGTTTACATACTTTCAACTGTGGTTAACGATTTTATCAAAGAGAAACAAGTTCTAAAACAGTCCAATAAAAGCCAACAAAGGTTGAGCCCGTTTAATATTAAGGCTACCTTCACATTCACAATGAGTCCGCTCTGCTTAAGCTTGGGGTTATGAAATTTTAATCAAAGTTCATGAAACCCTGCCCCTTGCGTATTGGCAGGAATACAATTTAATGGGATCCGTGTTTTCCACATCAGTTATTTGCATTGGATGTTGTTTGTTTTATTAAAGTTAGCTTGTAATTTTCTGCACATGAATTTTAATATCGTGGGTATCAAAAAATAATGAGTTTGGGTTTTGCGTGTTTCGTTTTAATGCATGTTTTCCTTTCATTAATAAATTCTGGAGTTGAACCTTAGGGCCTTGTAGTCTTAGCGCCCGTTCTGTCTGTAAAATTATATTGTATACCTTTCCCGACATATTAGCATAATCGTACAAAAGGGAGTATCGTATGAATTCCGAAATCAAAAATAAAGTCCAAGACATAGGATATCAGATAACTAATTTAAA